ATGAATGTATAGTTCAGATGCAAAACCACTCCAAAACACCGTGAACGATCAATCTTGTTCAAAATGAAATCGGATCAAAAAAAGATCGCGATCAGTCAAACATAACAAAAAAAGTATTAAAGTATTGTAAAAAATACAACTGTAAGGAATTTGTGTGTGGCTATAAATTCTGCTAAATTAATATTATTACCTAAATGTCACAAGCATTTAACTTACAGCAATGTGGAAAATATATTTACAATGTATTATATTTTAGACATCATGCTTTATTTACTTGCATTTATCTTTTTAAATAATAACTAAACGTACGTTTTTTAAGCATAAAAGTCGCTGGAATTTCACGATCTTTGACTACTCTCAATCTCAAATTTAACTAACCCAGTATATTTTCCTTTGAATTTCTTTTCCTTAACATTCATGTATCCATAATCGAAATAAACATTAAACTTGAAAACCAGTATTGAAACTCGAATATTTATCAAGATTACTTTACATTTCTAAATAGTTATACTTTCTCTCAACAAACATGATGTTTCCTTTGGCATTCCACACGTGTTGTTTCAATAATTCCAATTTAAAACGTTTTTTTTATATGTTGCTATGATACAGATCAACATGTACTTTAAAATCCTTAACTTCTTTCTAGGAATTTCAATCAAAAGCATGACTCTTTTGCGTAGATGTCAGAAAGTAGTGTTCGTTCCTGAACATTCGCCGTACAATTTTTTCGAAAATTGGCCAAAAACTTACAACCATAAAATCAAGCAACATGTAATCAAGTAATTGTATGTTCTGGCAAGTCCTTACTTAGTTAATAAGGGCTCATCAATGGCTTAGGAAGAAAATAAATAGCATACTAGTCTGTTTAGATTTTGCTTAGTGCACTGAGCTATTGTTTCATGATGCAGTCTGGATAGGCAATTACATGTGTAATTGGACGAAATGCACCCCCGGACGAAATGCGGTATGCGATTTTACATTACTGTAAAACATTTTTCAGTCTTCTTGAGACTATCCACACACTCACACAACGCTTAATTTTCAATCCGTTGTTTTACGTTTACGTCAGACTGGACCCCCTGTAATCTCACCATAGAATAGAAATTACAGTAAATCAAACTCTTGGAAATAGCTTACAAATGGAAATCGGCGCACTTAGACAAAAAATTACCTTAAGTTTTTAAAAATTGACTGCTTCATAAAACAACTCTGTTTTTCCACGGTCTTCGAAAGCGATAATGCTGTTCGTTTACTCAAGGACCTGCTCTGACATGTAATAATAATAAGCACAAGTCATATTAATTATTATTATCGTTATTATCACGAGCAGGAGGAGGAGGAGGAGGAGGAGGAGGAGGAGTAGTAGTAGTAGTAGTAGTAGTAGTAGTAGTAGTAGTAGTAGTAGTAGTAGTAGTAGTAGTAGTAGTAGTAGTAGTAGTAGTAGTAGTAGTCGTAGTAGTCGTAGTAGTAGCAGTAGTAGTATGTGTAATCAAATGGTGACGAGTGAAATTAGGGATTAATTTCACGCGCGTTTTGTCCAAGTCCTAATAATTTCCCGAGCCTTTATGTGGTTAGGTTTTCTATTATTATTATTTTGATTGTTGTTGTTGTTGTCGTTGTTTTCATTGTCTACTTTTCAACCTGAAATGAGAAAGGTGTTTTCTTAAATGTTAGGCACTCACTGCTGCATTTTATCTGAAACACCCAGTCAATGGGTTCACTGTACAGTCTTAAGTGAAACTATAACTATTATT